AGGCAAGGTAAAAGAGCAACACATAATTAAACAAATGCAGCACATCTTTACACAGTTAACCAAATATTGTGCAACATAAACAAATGTAACACATCTTTGCATAGTTAAACAAGTATTCTATAACACTACGCCATCTCAAAAAAAAAACCAAAAAAAAAAAACCTCCTCAAACTGCATGTCCTTTGTACATCTCTCTATCCATCCTCCTGACTCCCTTCTACTCTAATTTTTTATTAATGATCCTGTGTTCACTTCCTGTCAACTGGTTGCTTGCTCTACCTCTTGACCTATGGTTGACTTTATTTAATATTGTTTACAATATTCAAGCAGAAAGCTCTTGGATTAAAGATGTGTGCTAGGGCTGAGCCAGACCATAACTAGAAACAGGCTTTTCCAGTAAATAACACGATTTCAGGGCTCATAGCTTGTTCAACTATCTTGCAACAGAATAGATCTATTTTAATTCTTAGATGAGGTCTAAGCAAATAGTTTCATTGTTCAAACCAGATAGATGGCCCTGGTTAAACTCAGTGGTTCTCTCTCTCTCTCTCTCTCTCTCTCTCTCTCTCTCTCTCTCTCTCTCTCTCTCTCTCTTTCTCTCTCTCACACACACACACACACACACACACACACACACACACACACACACACACACACCATGAACGTGAGAAAGAGACTTGCATGGTAGGAAACAGGAAAAGTTAAAGAGATGGGGAAATGGGAACAACCAAATAGTCTTACATATGTGCATAGAATTGTCAATCAATACATTTAATAAAAATATAATTATGAAAAGCCACACTGCCTGTGTCCAACCCACCCTGGTTCTCAAATTATATAGACTGCTTTTCCTAGAAGAGTAGACGTGCTCTGAAGGAACACGCTGGACAGGATGAGACAGTCACACTCACAATGAGAATGGAATAGAAGAGCATGGAATGTCCCAATCATGTGGCATAAAAAGGTATTATTCATTTAGGTCAGATCAATAGTGTGTAGACAGTGCCACAGAACCCCTCGTTGCTAGGACTTTATTTTATCTGAGATTCCCATGTCATTTAATGGATCTGAACTTGTGGCTGTTTTAGGTATGACAGAGAACTTTATAGTGAATTAAATATTTTAATTCCCTTGATTACAATAAAAAGGATGTCAATAGCCAATAATCCATAATAACCAAGGCTGAATTTCTCCTACAGGATTTTTATTGCTTATTCAGTATCATTTTCTGCTAAAATCATGTTGTTAGAATGCCATCCTAAATCTCTGCTTGCACTTCTTGGCTTGACTTCTGTGGCCATCCTTTTCTAGTCGAAAGATTCTGTACACCTGATGACCTGATGTATCTGTTCGTTGTCTTCCAACTGGAGTTTGTTTTTAAGTGAGTTTATAAGATCCATAGTCCCTCATGAAACAACATCTCTTCTGGAATTAGGACCTTTTCAGCCTTTTATCTCAAAAGATTGTTCTTAAATGAAACATATGCTTTCCCCTGAATCACATCACTGGGCTCATTTAAAAATAAAACACTAACAATCATAGTTATATTCTTACTTTCAGCACAAATCTACAGTTTGCTTTTATATTCTGACAAAACCAAAGACTGCTTATCAGTTCATTTCTTTCAGCCAACTGGCCTACGATGAACTACTGAATGCAAGAAGACAGTGTCACAAAACCTGGTGGTAAAACAAGAGGAATCAGAACGTGACATGGAGTTTTAAGTTGAGAAGTTCTAGCCTGGAGGTGTAGGGGAGAAAGAATGTTCCAAGAGAGTAGCTGTCATGAACGCAGAGAAACAATTTATGCAAAAGCCATGTGGCAGAAGAAAGGCTAATCTTTGAAAAGAATGAAATAAAGTAGCTCCTGCCTCAAGACAGTACAGAGGAAGAAATGAAAAGGACCAGGATGAGTTTACAGAAATCATTTGGGGTGGAAATCACTGATAGGGCACTTTTTAGCCCATCCAAACCTTCTGGATTGTTTTCTGGGAGTGGAGTGATGTCAACTGAGACTTCTAATTATCTAAGGATAATATTGATGTTTGGTCATGAACTTCAAGGGAGAAAGGTAGAAACTAGTGAGCAGTCTGCCAGTTTGGAAACTGCAGCCACAGCCTACCACAGAAACACTTATGCACAAATTCAATTTTTAAATCTTTAGCCAACATCATCCAAGCCTGAGCATCTGAGACTGTGTGTGGACTTAGAATTATGGGAAGATTTGTGGCAGTAAATTTTAAAACCTCCCATCAGACATTTATTAATCTGTGTTCAACTTTCAAGTGTTTCGCTTCCTATTGATTCAGTTTACTAAGTCACTCAGTGGTGAGTAAATTTGAATTTGGGATTTTAAGCTATGTCCTATTAGGTAATGCTCAAAAAAAAATAATGATATTGTAAGTTTGGAATTCAACAATGTTGGAGAATGATTTATATAAAACTGCCCATCCTACTCAAGAATGTATACATTAACCAAGCAAATGTACTTACCCACCAGTAGGGCATGGCCTATAATCTTGTAGAATATATTACTGTCCACCCTCAGGCCCCAGGTCCTGTGCATGCTAAGGCCTCTGCTGAAGGAGCCCCACACTGAACAGCTCTGGAGATAGGAACCTGAATGGGAAGAAGATGGTGAACATTTTACTCACACCTCAGAGTCTCCTCAGATTCTGTTGACCACATCCAAACAAAATGCACCATGACCAGAAAACATTTCTCCACAAAAATACGAAACTATCATTTGGAAAAAAAAAAAAAAAACAAATCAAGAAATTGGACAACTAAGGCCACTAGATCTTGAACAGAAAGCTAGTTGAAATTCAAGACACAAATGCTAGAAAGTGTTATCCATCTAAGAAAGAGAAAGTGGCCAAGCCACAAAGCCACATGGCTATCAAGAATTCTACTTATTCAATGTCCTTTATCACAACATGGCAGAGCAGCCATCAAGGTCTTATATGATTTAACCGGGATTTTTAAAAACTATACTTGAATATAAAGTTGTAGCCATTATTTCTTGGGCTATAAATTAATGTTTATACCTTGTCAGCTGTTCTAGTTTAGTTTCTATGGCTGTGAAAAATACTAGGACCACAAGGAGATTGAGGATGAAAGGATTTATATTCTATCCTACAGTTTACAGTCTATCACTGAGCAAACCAAGACAGAAACCTGAAGCAGAAACCGCTGAGGAACACCATTTACTCATTCAATCTCCCACTGGCCATGCTTGGCTAACTTTTTGTACACTCAGGCCCACTTGTCTAGGGACAGTACTAGACACAGTGGGCTGGGCTATGATTGACAGAAATGCTATCCTGTGCTGCACAACTGTAGGTGGTAGCAAACATTTATTTGTTGATGGGCCCAAGGCACAAACCATTATTTGGGGTAGATACAGAGATGGTGATATTGAGGCCGAGTAATTACTTTCCTAAATGTCAGTTTATTTCAGTATAGTTGAAGCAACTTCCCTTGTATTTTCATATGCCTGGTTCTCAGGTCAATTTTGGGTTCTGTCAGTAATTTGGATTATGATTACCAGGCCAGCTTGGACCAAAACACTAATCGCTGATGCCATGACTAATCTTGGTTGTCTACATGACACACCTGGAAAAAGGGAGCCTTATCTGAAGCGTAGCCTCGACTAGATCAACCTGTGGATTTGTTTGTGGGCATTGTCTTGATTGCTTCTGACTGTTCTACAGTGAATGCTGCCATTTATTGGAGGCAGGTGGTATATGTGTTGCTTTCTCTTATTCTTCTTTGGAAGACCATATACACATGTGTATAGTATGCATGCACACACTTATGTACACATATATAAAACAGAACCTCATATTTGCATGTTGAAAAGTAAAAAAGTGTGTTCAGCTGTACATATAGAAATAGGGTATATCTGGCCAGGCAGTGGTGGTGCACACCTTTAATCCTAGTACTCAGGAAGTAGAGGCAGGCATATCTCTGAGTTCGAGACGAGCGGGTCTACAGAGTGAGTTCCAGGACAGTCAGGCCTACCCAGAGAAACTCTGTCCTGAAGAATAAGAAGAAGAAGAAGGAGGAGGAAGAAATAGAGCATTTCTAGGAACTAAGTTCTGAATTATATTTATAATCTTGTTTATTTTTCTTACTTTTAAACCAGAAAAATTTTAAAGTTATCATTCTTAGCATAGGTTTCTTCAAAAATAAGCCTATTTTTGCTATGGACAATTTCTTCCTCTTTTAACTTTATAATAACATGTACAATAAACTTTTTAAAATAATCCATGTCAAAATAATCCATGAAAGCAGAAGGAAGGCTTGGAGAAAGAGTAGATGGATGGGGTGATAGAATATGATAACAGCGGATTTAAGATGATCAAAGTATATCATATGCATGAATGAGATGTCATAAAGAAACCCATTAGTTTGCACAATTAATAAATTTGAATAAAAATAAAATATAGTCTATGTCAGTCAAGATATATTAGTTAACTTTATAATCCTATTATGACTTTTATCATATGAGAACTATGTAATTGGTACAATATCTTTCTAAGATAAATCACTTGAATAATCAGGTCTTAAATCATGTAGGACTAAAATAGAAAACCATAGTTAAAATATTGGATGATAGTTAATAATGAATGTATTTTGTAGATAATATAAAAAGTAGCAAAGATAAATCATTTGCTTTTGAAATACCAGTTTGTGCTTCATTTTTCTTCTCAAGAAAAAAATAATTATTAGAAGTTTTAAGTATTTCCTTTCAAAAAAGGAGCAATGAAACACTCCTGGAATTACTTTAAGCAGAACCAAAAATTTTTTCTGTCATATATTTTGTGTTCCTTCTGGACTTTTAAATGTTCGTTATACTGTTGAGTAGATTTAAATCCTCATGTCTATTTTTGAAAATAATTATTCAGAGATTATCTTGCTGTTGGCCAAAGAAAGCTTTGGAGAATATTTAACTAATTTTGGAAGTAAAAAGTAATATAGAAAATACAGATCAGTATAATACCAATTTTCCTCTGTTCTAAAAAGTAATTCAGGAAATTTAGAGATGGCTGGCAATAGTGATGCCATGTTACGAGCCTTAAGGACAGCTGAAGTCTTTAAGGTCCCTGAAAATGGCTACAGTGTAAAAATAAATAAATAAATAAAAAATAAAAAAAATTTAAAAAAAAAGTAATTCAGAACATGCATACTCAATAGTATGTGTGTTTGTGTGTGAGAGACCTTACACATGCTAGACTGCACAATATCTATATCTACAGTCCCTTGATATCTTTGTTTCTTAGGAAAATTACCAGAAATTAACCTTAAAATCATACTGTATCCGTTAACTTGCATATTTGTAAAGCTAAAAGAGAATAACTACAGTAAACTAAAAATGAGTCATTAACTTAGAGTTCTGATTTTTAGAGTGACATTTTGAGGACAGTATTGTCATAGTGTGGTGACCCAGGTTAAAAGCCCTAAGAACCGTCTTCCCTTCCATGTATTCTACTGGAGGAGGGTTGCTTTTGTTTCACTAATATATATCTAGTATAATGAGTCTTCATTTAAAGGTAAGGTGTAAGTGTTGGGTCTGTTTGTCAGCACTGTATTTATGCTTTATGTTGATTATAGAGCAAAATCTCTAGTTCCTTATAAGAATACAAATTAACACCTATAAATTAACTCATTAATAATCGCTTCTTTCAGAAACACTGTCTGGGATTTTTTCCCAACTCCGACTCTCTATCAAAACATCGCTCCATCAGAACACGCTTGCACCCGAACCGCTAACACCTCCTCCCACGCGCAAGTTGCTCTGGTGAGTGAGTGAGTGTCTATCTGAATTTAGCAAGCTCCTGTGCGATTAATTCAGGTACTGAAGTTGGAAAAGTATATATCTAACCTGTAAACATTTATCCACCTCTGGACTTGTCAGTCCCACATATCACCATCATGCGGTACCATCAACATAGAAGAAGAAAACCCAGAAGGCCAAGGTGTGGTCCCTTACCTCTCATAGTTCCCACCAGGGTGAGTGAGCTCAGATGCTTATGGAAGGCCTGCCCCAGGTCTTGAAACTGAACTCCCTTCAGCTTGACCAAGCTGGGCTCCTCTGGGAAGGACTGAACGATTACTCTGGCCCCCAGATCCCTGGCTCCCAGCATCTTTTCACTCTTAGAGTACAAACAGTGCTTTAGGTTACCTGAAACACAGAATGATGTCCAGAGGAAATTTTAAGCATGCTTCTAGACAAATCTCTGTTTGCAAGGCTCTATGGCTACAAAGGACAAGCCATCTGATAGTCTTCTTTCATTGTTCCTGTGGACTCTTTAAATAGATCAAATAACTATACCCTGTGGACTGTTTAAATAGATCAAATAACTAGGATATGATATTGCCCCTTGCTCTCTTATTTCTGGAAATAACCCCTACACACACATACACACACACACACACACACACACACACACACACACACACACACACACACACACACTCAAAATCACCTTAATTTCTATCAGAAAGGGGCAGATTACAATTATACCAATTATAGTGGTGTTGATTTAAACACAAAAGATAACCTATAGGAAAGGTACAATAAAAATTTTTTTCATATTTGGTAATTTTTGTGGACATTTGAGTACTGAATCCTACCATAGTGCTTATAGTCTTAAAGTACCCACTGAGGTTTCCCTTCAATATGCTGTTGTGTGTTGGGAGATTTAGCAAAAATATCTCCAGTGAAAGGACAGAGGGCTCCAGAAAAGTGACTAAGAGTTGCTACCAATCTGCTTCCCCAGCTATCTTCCTACTAAGGACAGAAAAGTGACCTGTGCTAAATGCAAAACTGCCATTGCTACAGTGTTGAGAAACCAGCACTCAGAATATTCTCTGCTGACATGCGACATTTGATAATGGGAAAGAATCTCAAAATGGAGAGGTCACCTTCAGAATTGACTCAGTATCAGCCATGTTACTTTGGAGTCCATAGAAAGAAGAAACAAAGTAAACTTCATTCAGACATACTTATTGTTCCAGCTTGCTTTCTTTTGCTGTAATAAGTCCATGACCAAAAGCAATTTAAGAAAAGATTATTTCATTTTACATTTCCTGGCCACAGTCCATCTTCAAGGAAAGTCAGAGCAGGCACTCAAGCAACTCAAGCAGAGACCATGGAGGAACACAGATTACCAGCTTGTTTTCTGGTTCACACTCAGGTAGCTTTCTTATACAGCCCAGACTCATTCACCTAGGGATGGTACTGCCCACAGTGGGCTAAGTGTTCCCATGTCAATCTTCAGTCAAGACAGTCTCTCACCAATGTGGCCAAAGATCGATCTAATATTGATAGTTCCTTCAACAAGGCTACCTCTTCCTAGGTGACTGAAGGTTCTGTCCAACTGATGACAAAAACTAACCAGCACAACTACATGGTCATCTGTATTGCTGCACTCAGGTTAATATCAATAACCAACAAAAGAGGTGGTGAATTACAGACCTTAATCTTTAGCAGAATTGTCCTATAAGCAGGAGATGAAGAGATGCTGTGTGTTTATATGTTTTAGCACAATTATGATCCCAGTTTGGCAGAACTGTGAAGGTGGTAGTCAGTCAGCCCTAACCTACTTTTATCCAAACTTTTTTTCTTTTTACCAAATTACATATATGTTAGTTGATGACTTTGAGTGGAAAGGAGTAAGGTCGTGCTCATTGTCCACTGTTAACAACCCCTTGCATCACAACACAGTGAACTGCACCTCTATGTATGTATCTCTGAAATCTTTAGCCTTGATATATCTATTAAGGTCCAGACACTGTCAACATCTCTGCTCAAACTCTGGCCTGCCCTCTCAGTTTCAACGTGTACAAAATTAAACTCATGTTTACCACCGCCATCCTATCCCAAAACCTTCTCCTCTTCCCAACACAGTAAAAGCTTCATCATCTATCTACAGCTCATGCCTGGAAGTCATCCTTGACACCCACAGCATCCTGGACCAAAGTTGACAAATGATATCTTCACAGCATGTGAAAGCCTCATAATCTACAGCCTGGGAAACTAAAACATAACCTCCTAAACTAACCATCCCTGAAATAGATGTTTAATAGGCACATCAGTGTGATTCAGTGCCTGCTATTCTACCAGAAGATGAATTGGCTCCGTTACCCCTTTACCTAGAGTATGTGGTAGGTCACTCAGAAAACCAACCCCCAAAGGGGAGGAGGTGCAAATCTAATCAATAAGAATGAACTGCCCAAGCCTTTGATTCTGGAATCATAGTTTTCTTGAGAATCTTAGGAGAAGCCTGGGATTAAAGAAATCATTAAGCATCCCAGCTGTCCTGGTTTAATTCATTAGCACAAGTTTTCCTGGATCAAATTATTAAATCATCTCCTTTGCCTTTTGTTGCCTTTTGTCTATTTCTTTTGCCTGTAAGTAGGGAAGGGGATGAAATGACAAGTTACCAAAAGGATTCTAAAAATTATGGAAGAATATGAACACTCAAAGACTAACGGTATATTCTAATGAAGAAGACCAACCAACGGCCCTGCCACATATTGTTAGGCAGTGAGAACACTTATTCACTCTTTGGGCTTTCTATCAAACTGCATTTCTACCTTTCGTAGCATTGGCCTCCTGGCAGGAATGGAGGCGCTTTACCCTCTCAAGAGTGAGATTTCCTTGGATGACAATGTTCCTGCTGAGAAGAGCCACAGTAGCCTTCAAAATATGATTCTTTCCAGCTACCCAGTTCTCTGTGAAGTTGTAAGAATATCTGACAAAAACAAGAGAGGAAGATGCACTTGAGAACATGATTCTACATCTTATTAGTAATAGTAAATAGATTCTTCTTTGGGGAGTGTCTATTTCTGTAGACACTCAAATACCTATGAATATGCCATATTTACACCTGTAAAACATATCTATCATAGCATTGGGAATTATGTACTGACCACTTGCTAAGGCAGAGATTCTAGGTTCCCACTAGAGAAAGTATTCAAGAAATTTTCATTTCATAACATTTATGCTTTATTATATTCCTTTCCAGATGTCCGGCACTATCTAATGCTAATGGATCTCATCAGGAGATAAATGTCCAGAGCCCAATTTGTGTAAGAACTCATCTTCCTCCATGTGAACCTATCCAAGCTGAAGTCTGAGTACCTCAAGGGGGTCCTGAGATGGAGGTATGTATTGTGCACAGTTTCCACAACAACAACCTCTTCCATCGGTCCAGCACCTTCAACACTCATTTCACTGATGATGACAGCCTCATCCCCAGGGTGCCAGTCCACAGCTTCCTCCAGAACCAACGTTGTGTCTCCTGCACATGCAGCTGCTCGAAGGGAGGTGACAGTAACTTTTGGAACCGAACCTGAAATCGAGAGAAAACTTGTTTAGATACTTTAATTGTTAACAAGGATATGATTTTATAAGAGGGGATCATAAAACCAGCCAAGGACAGCGTAGTGAGGTGGAAAACCTAAGAGCCACCACTAGATAAAATTTATATGTGAGCTAGTCTTAACATAGAGAAATATGTCTAGGTGGGCTTCAGTTTTCTCAGTTACACCGAGAAGTAGATGAACTTCCAGCATGGAGTTAGGATGGTTTAATGAGATGCTAGTTAATGAAATATCCAGTGCAAACCTTGTTGTGTAAGAGACATTGGCAAAAGTTAGGGTTTACTTTTTCCTTCCCTGTATTACTTTGTGTTTGGAAAAATGAGCTTTTACTTCACTCTTATTTCAAATAAATAAGTAGATATTTTATTCTACTATAGAAGTTCATAATTCATTTACAACATGAGGTTTAAACCCACAAATGCTGTGAGCAGTATAGATTACTTTTGAAGAGTCACCCTAGCATTTTGTGTGTTAATTGATCCCTTCAAACTAGAACCAGGTACCTCTGGGGTTAGATTATCAAGCAGCTGAGGCAGGCGACTTAAATTCTACATAGTTCAGTGTGCACCACACCCTGGCACCCCCTGATCTCCCTTGCCGTACCAAGCACATATGCCCTTAACGATCAAAGATTTAAGAACGCCATTTGCTTCACCATTTACACTGGGATTTTCCAGCAGAGGTCAAGGCAAATTTTTGAAGGCATTATGTGAAGCAATAGTTGAGAAAACAC